CTTCTAAAAAAAAGTGGTGTGAAAGAACATTGGAGCTCCACTCTTGTCTTATTAGTTTAGCTGTTTTGGTTCGATTTGTGAGTGAACCTGTTTTAACAAACAGCATGCTAATGTTTAGTACTGGAGCACACACTGATATGGGATTTTAGCTGCATTTCCATACCAGCTCCGTGATTTTACACACCTTAATTTATACAGGGTGGATTGAGAGTGGATTTTTTAAAATGTTTTTCTGAATTAAAATGATAAAAAGTTACACTTTGTCCACCAACAGCCACAAAGTTAATAAAGGGAATGTTTTCTCCTGTCATATGAGTTTATACCAAGTGACAGTGTGGAGCCACGCTCACAGCCACTATTACATCACCTTCACTGTTCTGCACCACTGCACACAGTGCTCTTCTATGAGTAATACAGAGACCAGGGAGAGACAGACTTGGTCATGGGGCTTGGTTACTAAATGACAGAGGGAGTACATATGGCTAGATAAAGAATGATAGAGACTATGGGAAGATGATATTCATAAGTGAAACATCAGTAAATATGAGTTATAGGTGTAAATTACACAGTAAATAACCACGTCAGACACTAATGCATGGATTCTGATTTCACTTTATTGAATGGATTAATAAATCAGTCAGAAACTAGTAGCACGTGTCAGCACTTCATGAGAACATAAAACACTCACCTACATATATATCTCAACTGTGTGAGCTTTACGGAAGGGGTATGAGAATTATTACAGAAGGGTAGAATGAGAAACGGCGGTGGTGTGACTGTCTGAAGGAAGGCAAGGTCATAGACTGTTGTTTTTTTCATGAGGGAGCAGGCTTTAGTTTAAAAGGAAAATAACATACTGCACTCTGAGATCAGCAGGCATCATAGCATATGTACACACACACACACAGTGGCAGCAAACCAGACACCTCATGAAGCTCAAACAGAGATAACGAGACATCCTCAGAAAGGTAAAAACAATATTCTTTCTGCACTCGAAAACTGCATTTATCCTGGTACACATGCAGCAACAAGAACGATTTATACAATATATAATAAAGAGTAGATAATAAATTTGCTGGTGCTATAATCTTTGTACTTTACCTTTTTTGCTTCAGTCGTTCATTCTCGCCAACACAGACGCACAGTTAATACAGAGTTAACTGGGCTTAGTGCATAATTAGACAAACAAAAAAGAGAGGGATAAAACATCTAAAGGAGAAGAGACTCCAAATGATTACACATTCACTCTGCTTCCTTCCCCCTTGCTGCACACATAACCACCAATTAGAGGAGAGGAGAGGAGGATGAGGACAAGTGAGCAGCCAGAAGTCTATTTGTGTCTCTCTCTCTTTCCTCTCTGCCCCTGAAGACACCCAGTGCCAGAGAGGGAGGAAGAGAGGAGAAAATAGAAGTGAAAAACAAGAAGTATATAAATAAAGAAATCAGCGTTTCACATCCGGTCGGCTTATTGGCTGAGACACGAGTCAGGCAGATCTGGGCCACAGTTGCACTCATTGTTCATTGAGCTTTTCTACACAGTCCAACCCAGCGACAGCAATGAATGTTGATTGTGACCTTTGGTCTTTGGGTAGAGTGGAAACAGAGTGTCACTTCTGTGCAAGTGCATGTGTGTCTTCGTCTCTGGATTTGCATGCGCCCACTTGCCCTTTTGTTCATTTTTGCTCAATCCTGACGTGGTCTGCGCGAGCCGCGGGGCACAGTCAACGGTCGATGGTTTTTATGTGATCCATACCAAACTCACCGACAGCGTTGAATGTTCACCGAGGCAGGCAGGACAGCAGCTGTGTCCGGGAGCCAAGCAGACAGACGAGGCAAGGCGTATAGGAAGGAGAAGAGACAGTCAGACAGACAGGGGACAGGGACAAAGCTGGGGAAGTCACTCAAACCACAAAGACAGGTCACACAGCATAGGGACATAATGACACAGGGCAGTTGCAGAATGAGTTCACTGTCAACAGGGCAAAGATGGTTCTGGTTATGTTAAAAACAGCTAGGAAGTATGTTGAGAGGATCTGTTTTATTGTGTTACCACCACTTCATTAATCAGAACATGAACTCTTTCATCTTTACTTCAAAACTGGTCACAACAGCATCTGAAACACAGATAAAGAGGACGTTGTTAGTACTGACGTTCCAAAAATATTTAATCTTTAACGGGTCAGCTCCCCAATAATTAACAAAACACATTTTCTTCCTTTTTTTTGTAGTTTTAAGACTTCCAGCTAATTTTTGTTTCCTTTGTGTGGGATTTTGAGATATCTGTCTCTGAAGTATCTGCTATTACCCTCATATTATG